TAATACTCACTGCTAGCCTGAAGAGGCTGAATAAACAATACTTGCACTTAATTGATTATCTAGTGGAACCCTTCAATTGAATGAGATTGGACATAACTCAACTTGAGTAAACCAGTATAAAAAGTTGTTCTACGATTTAAAAAAGCTTTAGAGGCACTTTATTTGATTGATCTTAAATATTGAAAACTTCGTCCAATGCTTATTGTCTATCAAAAATATATTCAAACGAAAACCATCCTTGTTTCATTCGAAAGAACGGTTTTCGCTTAAAAAGTATTTTCTCTAAGCAGACGATAAAATTCCTAAAGGCAAATGATTTTGCTGAACCAATCCTAGGTAGTTTCTATTTAACCTTGACCAATACCATTTGACTGGATGAAAGAGAGCCTTATTGCGAAAAGTTTTTAAAATGTTTTTGTTCACACATACACATATTCAACCCCCCCTCCCCTTCTATGTGTTTTTTCGCTAACTTCACCTTCAACATCATACTCAAAGTCAGGATACCTTGAACCCTTTTCTATCCTGAAACTGACAGTGTAAGACTCGGTTGTTGAGGGTTCAATGCTTGTGGAAATGGTATTTTCCTTTTTTCACTTGAAAAGGAAAAGAAGATAGTGATTCTTCTTCCTCTAAACTTTGGTTTCTTGGTGCACAATTTGCATGGAAATGGTGGGCTTAAGGAGTTTATTTTGCAACTCATCTAGTGTATGTGATTTAATTACTTGATGAAAGATAGAGGTTGAACTCTAGAAATATGCTTTGAAGAATAAGTCCAAGCGGAATTAAGAATTAAGATCTGAGGTTGGTTTTGGTTTGAGGCTATGAATCTTATCTTTTCATATGGGGTCTTGGCTTTGTGCAACAGGAAAACAACACTTGGCAGTTTAATGGTATTGGGTAGAGAAAACAAACAAAATGGTCCATAGACTTCAATTCTTTGTCTTCCAAAATTGAAAAGAGCTTCCGCGACAAATTGGATTAAGGGTATGTCTAGATAATTTTTTAAAAAAAATTACTTTCAGACAAGAAATCAAAATAATTTTTTTATGTTAAAATTAGCTTATAAATAAATTAAAAATAAAATTAGAAAAATAAATTAGAAAAAACTTAATGCAAATCATTTGATACTTCGTTTTATTAATTCAAAATAACGTATAAAATAATTTTATGATTATCCAACCATTTGAATCAATGAAATGAAGTATCAAATGATTTTCAAATTTCTTAAAGAGTTGCAGACTTAATCTATGCATTAAGAATTTTAAATTCAATAGTTGAATCATTGAATTTTGATGTAAAACATGAGTTATTGAATCAAATAAGTTTAGATAAACTTATTCATGAAGTAAATAAATTTCATTTTTACATTATATATATATATATATATACACTAAAATCCTCATAAATGACACTTCTGATGTATTGTTTATCCACAATAGATTTGTCATTTACAGTTTACAACATAATAATAAAATCATGGTCAAAGCATAGAAGAAACGAGCCAAATTATGAATTTAACAGCATAACGGATGCATGAGAACAAGTATGTTTACCAAACCAAACAAATCATAGATAAGTACTAACACTAAAAACATTTATTCCAAGGATTAACATATTTTTTAATATTTATAGTTTTATTACTTATCTTATTTTATAGTTTTTATAGTTTAAAACAAATTTTTTATTCTTTATATTTATCCTTTTCAATATTTTTTAGTTTATATAGTTTAAGGTAAATCTTTTTAATCCATATTGATAATTATTTTCTAATGTTGTGTTGACATGGTTAAAGTTTTCAGTTTTGTGAGAATAAAAAAAAAAGTGTCTAAATAATTGACGTTACAGGTGAAGGTACATACAAAAATGACATGAAATATCGAGAAATTTAATTTAGAGTAATTCTAACAAAATAAAATTGACATCAGAGACATAGTTGAATTAGTCCCTATAGTTAAAGGTAGATCTTTTTAGATCATACGTTATTTCTTTTTATAACTTTGTGTTGATGTGATAAAAATCTTTAATTTCGTGAGAATAAAAAAGTGTTTCAACTATGCATGTTACATGTGAGGGTACAAAAGAGACATGGAGTATGAGGAGATCTAATTTAGAATAAATCCAACAAAATAAAATTGACATCAAATACACAAAATTAAATTAATATCTTAGTTACATCAACACTAAAGGGATAACATTACAACAACAAAAAAATTAATGACAAAAATTAAAAGATTAAAAAAACTACAAGTATAGAGACTTAAAAGTATAGGGACTAAACGGTAATGTAAGTGATATTATAGAGACTAAATAATATTTTAACATATTTTAAATTATAGAAACTAAAAAGATAAAATAAAGTGAAACTATAAAAATAAAAAGACATTTCAACCAATTTTTAATCTGCCAGACTAGCAAATTTACATAAATACACTTTCTGTATTATGTCATATGTATAAAAAAACTAGGGTTACTAAAGTCCTTTTAATAACTACTATACATACTAGAAAAAAGAGGCCCTCTCTAGTTATAAAAAATAAAATGATGAGTGATTATTTTGTGAGATTTGGAAACCAAACATCTTTGAAGTAGAAAAAAGACATAATAAATAAATAGATTAAAGATAATGAAAGAGAAAGTGATTTAGAGTTAGTTATAAAGATAAATTAGCCTAAAATTTGTATATATAAAAATAGGGGTATCTCTTTTATTAATAGTATAAATATAAATGGAATAGGTAAATTTATATAATTAGATTTTTTTATATTTCATCACATGTAAAAGTTGAGGTTACTAAAATCTTTTTGGTAACTTTTTCTCTTTATTTTTTTTAAAAAAAATTTTTAATTAATTTTTTTTTGAAACTCTAACGAAATTATAACAAGAAGGAATATTTTATTTTTTAATTAAATCTTTAATCTAAACTCTAATGTCACCAAATTCCTTTTTAAAACTTAAAAATGCCACATAATAAAAATAATCGCTCCCTATATATTAGATACAAACATCTATCTTATGCAAGAATGTTTTTAAAGATTTTTCTTCAAAGGTTTATAAGAATTTTTTTTAACTTTTATTTAATTTAATTTTTATTTATTATAATTATTTATAAATTAAATATTAATATTTTAAAATAAATTATCAATAAATAAAAATAATTTTTTTATGTGTAATCATACTTTAATCTATCATATAATTACATAAGTAATTTGTCTTACATGGGATAGAAATATATATCTAGAAAAAAAGACATTTTTATTTAGAAGTCCAATTCTAATATATAAATTTTTAAATAATGTTTATTTCATAAGTAATAGGAAAAGAAAAATAGTTGTGCGTAAGCACGAATTACTTATTAATTATGAGAAGAAAAGAAAAAGTAAAAAAATACCTTTTATGATAGTGACCGATTACAAATCAACTTTTATTTGTATAAAAATCTCTTAAAAGTAAATTTATTTTATCACTTTTTAAAGCCTAAACATTCTTCCCAATCTTGTTTGGAAAAAACAAATTAAAGTTCATTGTTTTTTTTATTTATTTTGAGCTCCAATTAATCTTCTTGTTAGTTTATGCCGGATATATCCATCTCTGTCAAATATATATGTATAAATTAAATCAGTAAAATAAAACATTCCAAGAGCAATTCATGTATGTACGTATAGATTTATATATATATATATATATATATAGGGAGCATATCAAGTGAGAAGAATTTATTATAAGAAGGTGAGAAGGTTAATATATAACCCTTAGATTAATTTTCTCTCACTTGATTAAATCTCAAATTTTTTCTCACTTGATTAATCTAAGAGTTATAACCTTCTCACCTTCTCATAATAAATTCTTCTCACTTGATATGCTCCCTATATATATATATATATATTAGATATATACACAAACGTGTGACAATCTTTCAGTATCTCCTTTATACACGAAATCAGTCCTTGAAAAATAGTGTTAAAAACACATGAAGATAACAAAAGTTTAAGGATATTTGAGTTCATTCTTCTTTTTTTGAGTACACTTATAATTGCTTTACTTATAGTGTTACGCATGGTTGTCAGGTCACAAGGCTGAAATATTGGGTAAATTAGTTCAATTTAACTATTCTCTACATCACATCATCTTGAACTACTTCCCAATTCACAATGATTTTCCAACTTAGATGTAACAAATATAAGTATGTGGTTGAATAGACTACTCTCAAGTACTTCTAGCTCAAAAAAAAAAATGAATTTTTTTTTATAAACTAAAATTAGGTAATGCGTGAATAAAAAATATGAGTTTGAACAAGTTAATAAAAAAGAGTTTTTATAAATTAATTTATACATAAAGTAATTTTAATTTTTAAAAAAGTTTATTACATTTTTTTTTCTTCTAATTTTTACTTTTGGAAAAATGTACATAAACAGACTCTTAACTAGACTTCAACAAATGTCAAAGTTTATTGATGAGATCTTAAGATGAGGAAGAAATGGAGATTACAGCCTATAAGTCAGCAAGGCACTCAGTTGGAAGACCAAGAAAGGAATTCATAAGGAAATCATCAATAGGATCAACTGTTGCCACACCAACCAGTCTGCATTTTCCCTCTTTATCCAATCTCTTGCCTCTTCCACTCTTCACAATGCCCTTTGATTCTTCAGATGTCAACACTGTCTTCACCAGACGTGGGGCAGCCTTATAGAGACTACCAGCAGAAAAAATGAATCTGGCCTTGAACTCAAGATCAACCTTTTAAAAAAAATTAATAAAAAAAACCGAAGCAACCATATCATTAATTGGGTGGTTATACATAGAACTAAACTAATTAGAGAGACACCTTTGGCAAATTAAAATAAGATCATGCTTGACCAACTGTTTTTGCCTTTACAATATGCAGAAGTTTCTCTAATTAACTTTGATAGTGTAAATTCATTTTATATTGTTATTTTATCGCAAATTAATATATAGAGAGTAAATTTATTGACTTTTATTATAACTGTTATCGACTCATTGGAACACATTTGCATATATAAGTAATTGAAAATAGGTTACGTATAGTTAATATGAATCAAGAGAATTAATGACTAACTATTTTTTGTCACAAATCAAATGACCTAGTTATTCTTTAGTAACTAGAAAGCATCTCACCTGATTTAACACTTACAATAAACTTCTAGCAATCATTTCTCGGAGAAGTTCCTCTGCCTTATCATTCTCGTCTTTTTCAAATAGAAAAGAAATAATTATTTCAAAAGTTATAGCATCAGGCATGCAATCATTGTCTTCCATTATTGACAGCAAGGCCAATGCTTCATCAAACAGCCCCACTTTACAAAGTGCATTGATCATAACATTATATGTAGAGACATTGAGATGATGGCCTTTAGTCAAAAGATACTGAAAAACTTCTTGCGATTTCTCAATTCTTCCACCTTTGCACAGTCCATCAATAAGTATTGTGTATGTGTACTTATCTAGCTGAATTCTCCAACTAATCATTTTCTTGAATAATTCAATTGCTCTGTCTAGATGACCATTTTTGCATAAAGCATCCAATAAGGAACTGTAGGTAATTATATTGGCAGGTTGACCTCTATCATGCATCTCATCAATAAGATTCCAAACATCAACTATCCTTCCCGATTTGCACAGGCCATCAATAAGTGAAGTATAAGTTACAGTATTAGGAATTATATTTTTGCATTGCATTCTTTCAAAAAGATTGATGGCTTCATCTATCATTTTCTTCTTACATAATCCATCAATCATGATAGTATAGCTATAAACATCAGGTGCCACTCCTATTTGGGACATAGAGTTGAATACATGCTTTACTTTTTTCACTTCATTAACCATGCAGTATCCGTCCATTAATGTATTATAAGTAATAACATTAGGTTCCACACCTGCTTTTACCATCGAAGCTATCACAATTTTAGCTTCTTTTATCTTTCCTTCCTTACATGACGCATCAACCAATATGTTGAAGGTATAAATATCTGGGTTGATGTTTTTCAATTTCATATCATTTAAAAAAGCAATTGCTTCTTTAAAATGACCCATAATGGAAAAGCCATACATTAAACTACTGAAAGTTACAACATCCGGAGAAATCTTTTTGACAAGCATTTCAGAATACAAATTACACGCATCAGCAAGAAGTTTATTTTTGCATAAGCCGTCAATGATTGTGCTATACATTATCACATTAGGCTTAATTGAATGCCCTTCAATCCTTTTGAGCAACTGTATGGCAGCCTTTGTTTCTCCTGATTTACAAAGACCATTGATCAAAGTCCCATAACTAACATGGTCCAACTGAAATCCTTGAGCTTTAAGGCAATCATGAAAGTGCAGTGCTTTCCTAAGCTGACCACAAAAACATAAACCTTTGATGAGTGTTGTGTGGGTTATTGCATCTGGCTTATATCCCATTTTGAGAATCTTGCCGAACACAGAAAAGGCAAAATTGATGTGACCGAGGTGGCAGAAGCAATTGATGAGGATGCTCAAAATAACAATATTTGGTGTAATCCCTTTGAATTCCAATTGTTTGGAAAGCGAAATAGCAGTTGGGTAATGCTTCATCTTGACAAGGGATCCCAAAATGTGGCCAAAATGGAAGATGGGTGGGGAAGGATGCATATGGAGCATGCGATTGAATGAGGCAACGGCATCGTCGTGATTGAGAGATTGAGAGTGGAAGCTTGCATTTGCATAAAAAGGAAGAAATTTTGAAAACCTAAACCTTAATATTGACAAAGACATTGAAGTTCTATCTGGGAAGATGTGGGACTTGAAGGAAGCTAGGAAGGGTCTGTAAGAGCTATTTAACAGTCATATTTTTATTTAACAACTTAGCGTATGTTTGGATTCGCGTATTGAGTTACATTTTTGAACAAAATTGCATCAATTTGATGAGAAACAACTTCTTATTTTTCCGTTTTTTACGCGATTCAAATGCTCTGGACAACGGGGGAACCAAATACACGGTTGGAGAAAATAGCCCTTGATTTATGAAGGAAAACAACATTCATATTGACTCAGTTTGCGTTTGATTCGATTTTCTAACTGCTGAATATACCCCTTACAGATACTTTCATATTATATTAGTTTAAATAGAAACACGATTTATATAATTAAAATTTAGAAAAAAAGTTGTTCACCTAGTTTTTAAAATTCATTTATTCTATGATAACATGTGAAAAAGAAAAAGAAAATAGAAGTGAATTTGGAATACACTAATATGTGTTTATTCTTTATTTTTTATTTCTGCATTATGTTCATGATTCTTTAGTTTTTTTTTTTAAATCTCACCCGGTTAGTTATGATATCATTGATATGTTTCTGAATATATTTTTTTGAAAAAAGTATATCTCTATGTCTGGACTACATACTCCTTTAGTGACTTTTTTTTTTTAATTTATTTTGTTGGTAGTTTACATGTGAAGGAGTCAAAAATAGAGAATTGTGACTTGTGAGTCAAAAAATAGCATAAAAAAATTAAAAATAGGAAGATATTGGGGCATGGGTAGTGATACTATGTGGTTAAGGGTAGTGTTTTGTAATACACTACTACAGTTTTTAATGATTATAATACACACTGTTATTTTGAATAATTTATTTTTTATTAATAATGTATAATTAATGTTATTTTATAAAGAGGTATATGTGTTATTTAAATAAATAAATAAATAAGAGAGATTAGTATTTACTTAAAAATTAGAGGGGATGTGTGAGTAATATAAAGAAACTTTAGGAGAGATTAGTGGAATTTTCCCTTAAATTTATATTCTATAATAATTTTTTAATATATTAATTATATTATAATTAAAAATTATTATAAATAATATTTTACTATATTATAAAATGATAATAAAAAATTATATTGAGATACAATAAAACTATTTTTAATTATTGATAATTTAAAAAAATTACACAATTTAATTATTTTTTTGTCTAATAAAAAGGTATAACTCATTCTTGCTAGATTAATGTTATAAGGATAGAACAGTACTTTTAGTCACAACTTCATGCTTAAATTGAAGATCAAATCATGATCTATAGTTAAAGAACATATGTCATGTATATTATGTTTAATATTTGGTTCAATGGTTGATCATGTGTATAATTAAATATTTTATAAAAAAATTAATAAGTCATTAATTTAAGTAAAATTAGATTCAATTTTTTTTAAAAAATATGATCTCATGTTTGAATATTATGAATAAAAAAATGTAATTGAAAGATAAGACTTCAACAAAAATAGAGAGTTGAATTTTTTTAGTGGTTATCATCCATAAAATCAATAAATACTTCACATTAA